TTTTCAAAATTGGCTTTAGAAATGGAACAAAAAAAAAAAGAGGTTTTACGATCTAATTATCGCATGCCACACAAAAAAGGCGACATATCAGCGTGTAAAATTAGGCCACGTCATAACCTGACATAATCACGTGTACTTTCTCGGCTTAGGTGGGACCATAATGCTGATTTATTATCATTATCATGATAATGATATTTGTCAAATTTATTTACTTTTATGCCGATTTTTTCAATTTTGATTGGTGTTTTTAGACTATGTACAATGATTTATTTTATTCAACATCCTATTTTTCACTTTTTAATATTCCACTTCATCTTCTCTCTTCCATCTATTAATTTAACATAAATTCAATATTTATTTTTACATGTTTAATGAATTTCAACATTTTATCCAACCATTTTATTTTATAGATCTTTTACGTGCATGGTAAGAAGCTAATCAATAAAAATGTATTTTAAAATCTAAATAAATAAATAATATACTTTACCTTTTCTTATTTTATATTCTTTATCATAAAATAAAATTTATTTGGATAAAAAATTCTAAGGTTTTGTAGAAAATGTATTATAATAGTTTATATATATATATATATGTATTCAATTTAAATGAACAAAATCTCTATTTATAGAGATTAAAAATGGAAATTTATAACATAAATATTTTTTAAGAAAACATTAAATTTCACAAGATAATTAATCTAAAACAATTGAAAGGGAATAAAAACTAATGTGGTCCCCACTTTTAGATGTTTCAACCCGTTAAATAAGTTCAACACAAAGTAATCCACCTCATTTTTCATTGTTTTTCAACACTCTCACTAAACTTGAATCAACACCTTCAATAATTGTTTCAACACCTTCAATAATTGTTTCAACACCTTCAGCCTATATAGTCTTAGAAGATGGTGAGAAAAAGAAGTTTTTTCAGAAGAAAAAAAATAGATAAAGAAAGAGATAAGCCCATCAAAGTAGGGCCTATTAAAGAAAAATCATCGCCAAGTAGGTCCCATATATATTTCTGCAAGATGTTATCGGCTGATTGTATTTTCTGTCTTCATTTTCATGGGGGACAAAATTGTTTGAATTATTGCAATAAAAAATTGGTCATCATAACAGATTTATTATAAATGGTAATATGTCATTAGCATAAGTTTTGTGATGCTGGGTGCATATTAAAAAAACAACTATAGAATTTTTACATTTACTTTTGTACAAAATAGTTTCTAGGTAAGTAATCAAACATTACTGTTCTGATTTACCTATTGATTGGGATCAATATATGCGATTCTGAGTATATTTAGTTCTGTAACAAAAATAATAAGCATCCTGTCTGCTGTTGTTGAATTTCTTTAGGAAAATTATGAAAAATAAGATGCATTTGTCAGTTCTAACAAAAAAAAAGAGGCATTTGTCAGTGAAAAGGAAAAATAAAAGAAGAGAAGGCTCTTATGTGTAATAATGCAAGGGCATTCTCGTATTTGAGTAAGTGCAACTCCGTCACTAGATTTACTTTAGATACATGTACGGTTTATTGCATTAGATTTACCGAGGAAGAAGCAGAAAATAGCAAATCAGCATTTATTCAGCTTAATCCGTGACCGTTGAGATGAAATCAATGGCTGGGATTGGTTTCAGACCGTTGTGGTCCATCTCACACAGTGTACTACACTCTGAAACATTTACGAACGTCTGTGTTAGTCACACTTACATAGACACTCTTTCACCCATCACACTCGTGTACGTGAGCGTATTCAACACACGTCGCGGTGGTAACTCCGTGCATCGCCGTATTTACCGTCGGGTGTTAATGACGTGCGAAGAAAGAGAGAGTGTGGGTGTTTTGCCACACGAACGCTTAATCAATCAGTGTTGGGAGGACAGTTTCGTCTCTTTTGGAAATTGGAATCATTGCCCTCTTGGCTTTTTGCTTAATTTTGATGACATTATAGAATCTATTATATTAAAAGAGAAGTCATGACTTATTTCATGTGTGATTTTTTTATTTGAACCATTAGCAAAAAAAGATTTGTTAGCTATATTTCATTTCTTTGTAACCACTTCAATCATAATATCTTTGATATCTTTTTATTTTAATATAAATATGTATTAATTCTTTTTTTAAAATCTGTTGAAAAGATTTTAGCAAGATCTTAACTTTAAAAACCTTATATAAATATTTCACTAATTAAATACTTGAATAAAATTTCGAATTAGTAATGAAAATAATTATACATTAATATATATATATATATATTAATATGAAAACATATTTTATTCTTTTTATCTATTTAATAATCATAAACTATCAAATTAAATAAAATTATTATAATAAAGTGAATGTTATAAAATTATATTAAATTGATAAATTAATCAATTTTCTTTTCATAAATAGAAAATATTAATGTTAAAAATATATAATATATTGGCAGAATGGATTAACATTAGTAACTATAAATACATGTATAAAATTAACATATCTTAAACTTTTATAATATCGTATTATCTTTATAAACATAAAAAGTTTAATAAACGGTAATCTAACTTTGAAACTCAAATAATAATTTAGTAGAAATTATATATAAAATAATAAGATTTTTCATGCATATATTAATTTTAATAATTAAATATAAAGCCAATTAGATAAATATATAATAAGAAAAAATTGATATTAACGTACAAGCTATAAAACTATTTTGTTTGTAATAGTTATATAAACATTTAAACATATGACTAACGTTATTAATGATATATATATATATATATATGAAAACAAAACCCGCGCGGTTGCGCGGGTCCGAATCTAGTACAATGTTATATAATAAGATACATACGGAATAAATACATCACTAAACACACTTTTCATTTCAGTTTGTGTAAAAAGGTTACCTGTACCAATATAGTATTAGATCACGTCGGATTTTTTAACCACTGTACTTATATAAACCTTCCCAAAAAGAGTTACATCTGCAAGAAAAGTTACAAGATTGTCATTGCCTATTATTTAAGTGGCATCGAAAGACTGGTTAAAACTCCAAAGATGTGACTTGTTTCCATACGAAATTTTCCTCTAAATAATTAAAGTGACACTAGTATATCTTTCTTTTTTTGTAAATTAAGTGACACTAGTATATCTCCAACAGAGTTATGTTAACTGCTCTTGCCCAACAACATGTGTATACTACTACTATATACTCTTACGATGACCATGAGAGACTGTATAGGGGATGTCGAAAGAATATTGTAAAAATTGTGTATATAACCATATATACAGAAAATAGTCTGCTTGTAGGGTTTTTTACATAATTACAAAGTTTTTATGAAATTCCAACTGAGTTATACTAGTAATTGAAAAGGTTGGACTGTCCGTCTACGCAAGTGCCGGAGAAAACGAATAGGTTCGAGGAGCAACATGAAAAGAAATCAATCAACTAGAACATTTCCAACCTCATTATATTTTCTACTAAGATATATAGTTTGAAATTATATTATGTTAGTAAATTTTATTTATCCTTTTATAAAAAAGGAAAATGACTTTACTTTATAAATAAAATATTTTATTTTTTGTATTCATCATTCTATTTTTAATCTAAAATAAAGTATCACTTAGGTAGAATTCAACTTCATTATAGAATTACTTTATTTTGAAATAAAATTAGAGTGAACCATTGAAGATAATCTTAGTAAAAAAAAAAGAATTAGCAAAGACTAATAGGAAAAGAATATTGGCAAGGACTAAATAGGAGTACTAATGAAAAGATAATTAGTAGATAGTAGATACTAATATTAGTAAAGAAATTCATAATTTATCAAAAATAAGAGTGAGATGGAATCTACCATTAATTGACACTCATGTCCCAATCGTCACTCACACGTACGCTCGTTTTTTGTTCATTCTCTTTTGTAAAAAGCTAGAGAGACAGACAATCTCTCCTTCACTTTTTTTTCAGACACAGGTGCAAGTGAACAAGAGACGAGAGTGAATCGGAAATATTTGTGGTTGGTATAAAATTTATGTATAATTTAATATAAACATTAAAGTGATACATTCAATGTAAAATTCATGTAAAACTCTTTTCTAACTATTACATGCAATGCCTCAAATTGTTGTATATGAGTAGTAATGAAAAAATAATTTAGATTCTTACAAGTTTGGTTCTGCCAGCTTTTAGCTCCAAGAAATTATCTGTCTTCCGCTAACTTTTGATTCTGCGAGTTTATGTAGCCCTACCAATTTTTGTTTTGAATTTGTCTAACTCAAAATTTTAATTAATATAATCTTTCAATAGATTTTTTTATAATATGTTTCAATTTTATTATAATACTTAGGCGCTAGTATCTTATAGTAGAATTAAAAATAATTGCATACTGAGCAATAATGAATATACAATCAAGATTCAACCAAGTTGACCAAAATCATGTTAAAAAGCAGAAATAAAATTCTAGCATTGAACTAAACTAAAGTTAAAGCCTATCAAAATGCGACTAACAATTTTAACTTGAAGCCAGCACCAAACCAAAAATTAGACTATATTTGTATTACCTTTTTGTTTGAGACAAGCTAGGTCATTGAGGTAAACATTTAGAAATAATTGAATAAAGCCAAAAATGAAATTAAAAAGAGTAACTAGGATATAGCTTGTGGAAGACTTGATCCCGTTTCCTAATCTCACGTAGCAAACACCTTTCATGTACTGACAAAGACTTGATTTATTTAACATTAAATTTCAAAAAAGTTTGAGATTAAAGATTTTGTAATGCCTTGATTTTTATTAAATTTTTGTAACTCCTTGCACTAAATAAATTTTGTCTGTAACACATACAATAATCAAAGGTAGCATTATTTGTTTGTATCTGTTATCAAAATTGAAGTTAAAAGATAATAATAATAATCAGAAGAAGAGGTAACATGGCATGTGAGTGCACAGCTGTGACCACTCCCTCCCCTTCAGCATTTGATAAATACCTTCTTCCATCCTCCTCCTCCTGTCTTTTGACTCTCCTCTCCCTCTCTCTCTCTCTCTTTAGAGCTTTCACTTCCTCTCTAATGGTGGAACCAAAACCCTAGATTCCCCCATTTACTTCCACACCTAAAAACTATGAGAATGAAGACTTTTCCTAGCTTCATTCTTTTCTTTTCCTTCTTCTCTCTCTCCCTTCAAGCCTCTTCACCATCTCAGTCTTTGTACAGAGAAATCCATCCGCTAATAACCTTCAAAAACATACTTCCCGACAAGAACCTACTCCAAGACTGGTCTCCCAACAAGAACCCATGTACTTTCCACGGCGTGACTTGCAAAGACGACAAGGTCACTTCCATTGATCTCAGCTCCAAGCCTCTCAACATCGGATTCACCGCAGTGGCATCATCTCTCCTGTCTCTCACCGGACTAGAATCTCTCTACCTCTCAAACTCCCACATCAACGGCTCCATCTCTAATTTCAAATGCTCCGCTTCTCTCACCACCTTGGATCTATCGAAGAACTTAATCTCAGGCCCAATAACAACCTTATCAAGCCTCGCCTCATGCATAGGTCTCAACTCTCTTAACCTCTCCTCCAACACACTAGACTTCCCCGGGAAAATCTCAAGCGGGTTAAAGCTTAGTAACACCTTAAAAGTTCTTGATCTCTCAACGAACTTACTCTCCGGCTCAAACGTCGTCGTTTGGCTCCTCTCCAACGGCTGCCCCGAGCTCAAACACTTGGCGGTTAGCGGAAACAAAATAAGTGGTGACGTGGACGTCTCTCCTTGCGTGAACCTCGAGTTTCTCGACATCTCCTCCAACAACTTCTCCACTTCCCTCCCTTCTCTCGGAGACTGCTCCTCTCTGCAACACCTCGACATCTCCGGTAACAAACTCTCCGGCGACTTCTCCCTCTCCATCTCCTCCTGCACAAACCTCAGATCGTTAAACATCTCCGGCAACAAATTCGCCGGAGCCATCCCGTCTCTCCCACTCAAAACCTTACAATACCTCTCCTTAGCTGAGAACAACTTCACCGGAGAGATCCCGGAGATTCTCTCCGGCGCGTGTAACACACTCACCGGACTCGATCTCTCAGGAAACAAATTTCACGGTACTATTCCGCCTTTCCTCGGCGAGTGTAACCTCCTCAAATCGCTGGCGTTATCGAGTAACAACTTCTCCGGCGAGTTACCGATGGATACTTTGTTGAAGATGAGAGAACTCAAGAAACTCGATCTCTCCTTCAACGAGTTCTCAGGGGAGATGCCGGAGTCTCTTACCAATCTCTCCACTTCTCTGCTAACGCTAGATCTCAGCTCCAACAATCTCTCAGGTCAGATACTCCCGAATCTCTGCCGTAGCCCGAAAGCTACGCTCCAAGAGCTTTACCTTCAGAACAACGGCTTCACCGGGAAGATCCCGGTGACGTTAAGTAACTGTTCGGAGTTAGTTTCGCTTCATTTGAGCTTTAACTACCTCTCCGGGACAATCCCGTCGAGCTTAGGCTCTTTATCGAAGCTTCGTGATCTGAAGCTGTGGCTGAATATGCTCGAAGGAGAGATCCCTCAAGAGCTTATGTATGTCAAGACGTTAGAGACGCTGATCCTCGACTTTAATTATTTAACAGGTGAAATCCCTTCAGGTTTAAGTAACTGTACGAATTTGAACTGGATTTCTCTTTCGAATAATCGGTTAACCGGTGAGATTCCTCGGTGGATTGGTCGGTTAGAGAATCTTGCTATCCTCAAGCTGAGCAACAACTCTTTCTATGGTAACGTTCCCGCTGAGCTTGGCGATTGTCGGAGCTTGATTTGGCTTGATCTCAACACTAATTACTTCAACGGAACGATACCCGCGGAGATGTTTAAACAATCAGGAAAAATCGCTGTGAATTTTATTGCTGGTAAGAGGTATGTTTATATTAAAAACGATGGGATGAAGAGAGAGTGTCATGGAGCTGGTAACTTGCTTGAGTTTCAAGGAATCAGACCGGAGCAGCTTAACCGGGTTTCGACTCGGAATCCTTGTAATTTCACTAGAGTTTATGGAGGTCACACTTCGCCTACGTTTGATAATAATGGCTCCATGATGTTTCTAGACATGTCTTATAACATGTTGTCCGGGTACATACCGAAAGAGATTGGTTCGATGCCGTATCTGTTTATTCTCAACTTGGGTCATAACTTTATATCCGGTTCGATTCCTGACGAGGTTGGTGATCTTAAAGGGTTGAACATTCTTGATCTTTCTAGCAATAAGCTCGACGGGAGGATCCCTCAGGCTATGTCGGCTCTTACTATGCTTACGGAGATTGATTTGTCGAATAATTTGTTATCCGGTCCTATTCCTGAGATGGGTCAGTTTGAGACTTTCTCACCGGTCAAGTTTTTGAACAATTCTGGTTTATGTGGTTATCCGCTTCCGCGGTGTAGTTCCGCAAATGCGGATGGGTATGCTCACCATTCAAGAACTCACGGAAGGAACCCTGCGTCCGTTGCGGGTAGCGTTGCGATGGGACTATTATTCTCTTTTGTATGTATATTTGGGCTGATACTTGTTGGTAGGGAGATGAGAAAGAGACGGAGGAAAAAAGAGGAGGCGTTGGAGATGATGTATGCTGAAGGGGGTGGAAACTCCGGGGATAGAACCGGTGGTAACAATACGAATTGGAAGCTGACTGGTGCAAAAGAAGCTTTGAGTATTAATCTTGCAGCTTTTGAGAAGCCGTTGCGGAAACTCACTTTTGCGGATCTTCTCCAAGCCACTAATGGGTTCCATAATGATACTATGATTGGGTCAGGCGGGTTTGGAGATGTTTACAAGGCGGTTTTGAAAGATGGAAGTGCAGTGGCGATCAAGAAACTGATCCATGTTAGTGGTCAAGGGGATAGAGAGTTCATGGCTGAGATGGAAACGATTGGGAAGATTAAACACCGGAATCTTGTTCCTCTACTTGGTTACTGTAAAGTAGGAGAAGAGAGGCTTCTTGTGTATGAGTTCATGAAGCATGGGAGCTTGGAAGATGTATTACACGATCCGAAGAAGGCTGGAGTGAAACTAAACTGGTCGATGAGGCGGAAAATCGCAATTGGATCAGCTAGAGGACTAGCCTTTCTTCACCATAATTGCATTCCCCATATCATCCATAGAGACATGAAATCTAGCAATGTTTTGCTGGATGAGAATTTGGAAGCGAGGGTTTCAGATTTTGGCATGGCGAGGTTGATGAGCGCGATGGACACGCATTTAAGTGTCAGTACATTAGCCGGTACACCAGGTTATGTTCCTCCAGAGTATTACCAGAGTTTCAGATGTTCTACAAAAGGAGACGTTTATAGTTACGGTGTGGTCTTACTCGAGCTACTTACGGGTAAAAGACCAACAGATTCTCCGGATTTTGGAGATAACAATCTTGTTGGATGGGTGAAACAACACGCCAAACTGCGGATTAGCGACGTGTTCGACCCCGAGCTTTTGAAGGAAGATCCAGCGCTAGAGATCGAACTTTTACAGCACTTAGAAGTTGCGGTTGCGTGTTTGGAAGATCGGGCTTGGAAGCGGCCGACCATTTTAGAAGTCATGGCGATGTTTAAGAAGATACAAGCGGGGTCGGAGCTAGATTCACAGTCGACGATAGGATCAATAGAGGATGGAGGATTCAGTACAATAGAAATGGTTGATATGAGTATAAAAGAAGTTCCCGAAGGCAAATACTGAAAGAAACCAAAGCAGATTCTACTGTGTTCTAAAATGTGTGTATTTATGTTCTTTACACATGAGACGATGTTCTTTTTTGGGTTCGGTCGGATTGGGGGAATGGGAGAAGAGAAAATAGTAATAACTTTGTTATGAATATGTAAATATACAGTTTTTCATCTTCTTCTTTTAGAATTTGTAATGTTTATCCCTCACGAAAATTTCAGATTTGTGTGTTAAAATCGACCGAACATGCGTGAATGGCTGAATGCACGTGACCTATGTTTCATTATGGTCGGGGAATTCACGGGAAGGGGAAAGTGAGAATGGATGATAGATAGATACTCCATTTAGTTTTTTTTTCATAGGCGTATAATTTCATAACAAATGTGGTCCCTTCTGAGAGTTTTTACATATGGTGAATTAAAGTTTTTGAATTTTCTTGTCTTTATACACTTACTATAGGGGAATTGATCCGTTAGACCATATTTATTGTATCCATCTACCTTATTCAGTGCAACTTTGTTTATTTTAATACCTCTGATCAAAATATATTTTTTTCTTTCAAAACTGGATTTATTTATTTTATTTTCTAGAATATAACGATGCCTTGGTTATATATTTAGGAGATTGCATCTTTAGTACTATTCTGATGTCACAAAACTGGTATTGTGAATGATAGGATGCTACGTATTCCGTAATCAGATAAGGAATGCTCTAGTGATGTACAAATACATTGAATATGATAGGATGATCATGTAAATTTTTATTCAAAATTTAAAGCTTTGATAATAAATAAAAAGATTGATACTATAACATGGAGAAATGGACCTTCCCCTGAAAATTAAAATAAAGTGAGGGTTTCAAATATCTGTGGACACTGCACCAACATTAGCACAACAGATCTTACACAAGGATCGTGCGCTCTTCTCTTTCTCTCTGCTCCACCAGCTACGTGGACTCTCTTGTCTTCACTCACCTCGCTCTTCGGGGTTTGTGTTCTTTTCTTTTAATTATTCATCACTTTTCTCGTTACTACAGGCCAAACTAAAAAGAAGCAAATCACGAGTTTAGACTTTTGATGAAACTTAAAAGAATGGTTTATCCGGGTATTATGTAGCTTTATACTCATCATCAAAATATGCATGAGATATAGTATGTATATTTTCACTGGTATAGATGTGTGATTTGCAAAATCTTCATAATCTGCAGAATCATCCTTTCGGACAGATCGAAACATATATTTATAATTTGTGTCTTTCTCGGAAGCTATACTTGACAAGTGTAAAACAACTGCTAAACCGTCTTAAAATATCGTATTTTAATATAAGCTCTTCATGTATTTATTTGTATATGAAGACAGCTCCTTGAGTAATCCGCGTGTAGATGTTGAGCAAACACACGCGCATAAACAAATGAAATGGTGGAGAGAGGGAGAGAGATAAGTAGCTATCAAGCGTGAACACGCGCGACGGTGGTGGGTGCAGAGCACGTGGGCCACCATGCATGCAAGCTGTTCTTGTCGGAAACTCCCTCCTAACAACGTCTCCCTCCGCCGTGGGCCGCCGTCCCTTTCCTGTCTCCGCCGAATTGACCTCTTTCTCTCCATCTCTCTCTCTCCCACGTGTGTTTCTTTCTCCTCCATACAATTTTCTTAATTAAACTATTATCTTCCTAAATCCTAATAGATATTCATAATTTTCTAAGATCTTTTTATACCATTCTGACAACTTGTCAATAATGCTATTAGTTAGCTTCATGAAATTATTGGGTACGTACGTGGGTTTCATTGTTAGTTGTCTGATATCAAGAACTCAAGACAGATATAATTAATCACAGGAATAAACACGATATCCCATGTCAATTCAAAAAAAAAAAAATCATAGAATAATTTTATCTCCTATCATAGAGTTGGTAGAATTACAGAATACCTGAACATAATTAACAATTCAATATAATTATGCAGTTGGCAAAATGCATAATTAAATGTATAATTATTTTTTTCAAAATTCATTTAAAAAAAATAAGAAAATATTCTGATTTTTATTAAATTTGGTTTTTGAATTTATCTGTAATTATCTAATTTTTATTTATTGTTTATTGCTTTTATTAGTTACATACTTAAATAAAAAAACTAACATGTCAAATTTTTGATTTTATGAACAAATAAACTAAGTTGAAGGTGTTTATGACACAAAACTAATTGAAAGCCTAATATTTAATAAATAAATTCAAGATTTAATGTTATTGAATATCAATCATTTTGAAGATTTTTCATGTGATTTTCCCTAATGGCATGGTCACCGTCGTATGCTACATATAGATCGACAATCTGAACTTGAATCAATCAAATCGTATTTTTAATTGCTCGTTTCACTTACAAACTCCTCGCACGCACGAATGCTTGTTCTCGAATAAATTAGTTGCGAAATTTGAGGTTTATACGATAAACGAACTACATGAGACTACAAAAATTAAGAAAAAGTTGTACTCGAAGAATGAGACAAACCCATTACCACGCGTGTGAGCTTTCTGCCATATATCTATAGCTAAGACAAACCCATTAATTGAACGTCTTATGGCAAAGAAAAACAAATATTAAATCTACACAGCTTTGTAATTAACAATTATGTTTCTTCTTTTATCAGCGTTTAACGTATAAATGTATAATGCTTTCTAAAGGTCAGTCTGAAGAAGATATTATCTCACATGAAGAACAAGCAGTCAGTTGTTTTTCTTTTTTTTGTCTACGAGTCAAAGTTGTTCTTACCGAGTTGCTGACAGCTTCATTAACCCAACAGTTAGTGTTTTACGTAGTGAATGTTTTTTTTTGCATAACAAAGTTTAAGCTTGTATAACCAGTTCCAAATATTTAATATATTTATCATTCGCTTAGACTTTTGGTTTTTCATCGAAAACATTTATCTGAACAAGAACTCGCAGGCATAAGTTAGAAAGAACGCTCTGTCAGCTTAATACTAAAAACTTTGAATATAACTATGAAACTCTTAACCTTTAATAAATAAAGATAGTTTGATCAGATTTAGAGAGGGTGAATTCACTTAGGAGTCTTTCTTCTTTTCACGACGAAGAGACAACGTAACAAAAAGAGAAGACTCAGATTTCCTCAATGTTTAGTAAAACTTCAAATATATTATATCATCTCCTCGACTGCAGCTTCCTACAGCTTTATCGTTTAAATTATTAGGCTCTTTGAAATACTAACTTTTATTTAAAATTTCCATTATAAAACTAAAATATTTTGATTTCCCATTATGAATAATATAAGACCTTGAATTAAGGGGGGCGGGAACATGCGGACCACGTGAAAGTCTCCCTCGGACTCGGCAGTGCAAACGGGTCACAAGTTTTCATGTTCGCGGAAACTATATATATATTTTAGTTTAATAGTATTTGTTTATCCATTTTGTAATACGGTTATATACTTATTAACATAAAGTTTCGTAACGTTAATTTGGTCCGCGTTACTACTACTCATGATTTACTTATTTATCGATGCGCTCACACACGTGTGAAACGCTTATCCATTTGTCAACTTAAGTTTTGTCTGCTAAATTCGTCACCTGGTCGGGGACTTCAAAAAGTCAATAGGGGTTCTGTCTTAGTTGGGCAAGTGTAAGTTCTTTGAAAAGCCTATCGTACAATCCATTAAGTTTTCATAATAAATAGTTTAGTCACTATTCTGATTTTACAAAACTAAATATGATCAATGAATTTGATGATTCACAAAAATTAGAAACATGTAAAATCAAAATCTTATTATATAAAGAAGAGTTTTCTTCCCTCTTATGATGCCATGTCACTAAATAAGATGAAGAGAAAGTGACACATGGCATGCAATATTTATTCTTACAGAAAACATTAATGTTTAATATTAACAAAAATTTATTTTATGTGAATGCATTTATCATTTCTTTTTCAAAAGTATGAATTTTTTTATTTTGAGACAAAAAATATATTAAAATAAATCATTGTATCCATGAATTAAAAAATGTATAAAGCTGAAAATAATCCATAATTTTATATTCTTAGATATTTTATTTTATAAACATTGACAAACGTTCACTATATCTAACACAACGATAAGTGTGCGTTTATCTCTTTTGAAATAGTAATAAAAAAGTAAATGAGAATAAATATCTTTCTACTTGATTGATAGTTTTTAAGAATAAGTTGCAGAAAAAATTAGCACATAATACCATAGGCTCGAAAAGTGAACTTGCAAAAATACACAACTATATTAACACTGATCCGTATAACATGTCACACACAAACATGAAGTAAACTCTAAATACAACCATCGAAACTTTAAAACAATTTAATAACTTCTAAATCATTAGAACTAATATTTATTTTTAAAGAAACCAAAAACAAAATTGACATTAATATTTTTGTTAAAAAAATAATCATTTAGTGAAAATATATAATATAATTAAAAGAAATTATAATTATAATAAATAAATTTATGATAAACATGATAAAAATAATCATTTAGTGAAAATATATAATATAATTAAAATAAAACAATTATAATTAAAATAAATAAAATTCATGAGAAAGAGGATAAATCAATTTACGCTATTGATCTTTATACATTTCATTATATTTATACCAACGAAAATAAAAATACCGAACCTCACAGATTTTTGGTTCCCTTTTTACTACCAAATTTAAGGTTAACCTATAATACACAATGATATAAAATAATTAACAATTAATACATAATGAAAATAATTTTGAAACCAAGAACTAATAAGATATAAAAATAGACTAATTAAAATTTAATTATGCTATGTAATATAACTTGAATTTAATGAAAAGTTTTTTTCATGTGTTTAATGAAAATTTCAATAAAGATTTAATAGTTAAGTAAACGTTACATAATATTTAAATTTATTCAAAATAAATAAAGAAGTCTATAAGTTTGGAAATACAAAAAAAATATATTATCATATTGTTTTTTTTTTACGTTTTATTAAACCTAAGAAAAAAAAGATTCACACACCAAATTTTCTTTCTATTTTAAGTAAATAAGATCAAATTTAGAAATAAAAAAAGATTCAAACAGTAAACAATGAGTAATAAATAATCAAACCATATTTTATAAAAAAACTGAAAATAAAATAATAACACTCAACAAATAAATAAACAAAAGTCGAGACGAGACATAATACACAACAATTCTACGCAAAACACATACTGATACTCTATAACATACAATATTTAGATCTAAAATTTTTAAAATTCGAAAGACAAAAAAGAATTAATAATTAATAATAATTATATAATTGTCTAGCTACTTATATTTTATAGTATATTATAATATTTATATATCAAAATAACATACAACATATATAATTAAAGTTTCAACGAAAAATCCGGGCGTAGCCCGGGCAGGCCCTAGTTATAAGATAAAAGCATGTGCTTCAAAAAAAAAAAAGAATAAAAACTAGAATTTATAAGGTTAAAACAAATACTATTCATTATAAACGCAATCAACAAAAGTTTTTTAAAAAAAAACAATCTAAGGGGATATAGAATATATGTGATTGTATGAAAAATGATTATATTACGAAACAAATTAAAAATTTAAAAATTAAATAAAAATAATTTAAAAATAACTTATTATTTTAATATAAAAATATTTAATAAAGTAGTACAATCTAAAAACTAAATAAAAATAATTTATTAGTTTATCTGATGATTCAACCGATAACTGAATTACCGGATTTAAGAATTTTTAACAGATTTTATCGAATTTTTAATTAGTGTGTATTTTTAAAAATCTAAATGAGATTATTTACTGGATCACCTGATTTGGTTATCAGTTCTTACCCCACTAACACTAAGATATAACATTCTTTTCAAATGCGTTATGAATTTTAATATAAGCCCATCAAATGTACAAACTAAGGCTCAACAAGCTGTTTCTATGGGCTCAATACGATATGTCTGCATTTACTTTGGCCCGTTAACATTTTAAACACATTGATATGCCTAAAGTTAATACGGCGAGACAGTGTTGAATTACAGTTTAATTGTTAACTAGACCTTGACCCGCGCGCCAGCGCGGGTATGATTTTCCGGTTGTTGATTATTTATTTTATTAAATGATGTACTTGTAATATTTGATCATATTATATTCACTTAGCATATAATATTTTTGGCATGTTAAACCATCTATTGTATGATCAATCTTCGATATCATATAAAAAAATTAAACATATATAGTTAATTAGAGAATTGTATACTATATATAAAGACAATGGAAATGACCGCAAATTATTTTCAAATTTATATTATGACTCAATATGCCTAAAAATTAAA